GAGGCTGCAACAATGGGCTCAAACATACCTACTATTGTGAGGATGGCACAGGACCGGGCAACATTTTGTTCTGTTATATATAGTGTTGCTATGAGTCGGAACTGACTAGACGGCACCTAACAGCAACAACAATTAATGTCCCTAATCAGTTTGACTTTGAGTAAATCAAAAGGGAGATTTTCCTGGGTGGGCCTAACCTAATTAGGTGACGCTTTAAAAGAGAGCTTAAGTTTTCCCTGAGCTGGAAGGCTTGAAGCAACAGAGATTCTTTCTCTGTCCTCATTTCTGGCCTTGCAAGCCATTGGGAGTTCTACCAAACCAATGCCATTAAGTTGATTCTAACGCATAGCAACCCTATAGGACAGAGCAAAACTGCCCCACTGGGTTTCCAGGAGCAGCTGGTGGAGTCAAACTGCCAACCTTTTGGTTAGCAGCCAAGCTCTTAACCACTGCGCCACCAGGGCTCTGTGAGTTCTACAGCTGCAAGCAAATGAATTCTGCCAATCGCCTGGGCTCCAGGAAGGAATGCAAACTGCTGACACCTTGATTGTAAATTAGTGAGACTCTGAGCTGAGGACCCAGCTAAGCCCGTGCTGTGCCTGGACTCCTGACCCATGAAAACTGAGATAATAAATGGGCATTGTTTTAAGCTGCTAACTTTGTGGTAATCTGTGATTAATAAAGCCACCTTTCAATATCCACACGGCTTATTTCATTAGCTCCTTCAAGTCTTTGCTCAAATGTCATCTTTATAAAGAGGCCTACACTGAGCACCCTAAGTAAAATTGCAACATTCCCCTCGCCCTGTTTTCTCCACAGCACTTATTACCTTCAAACCCACTAAAACATAATAAACATATTTTAACACCTTTCCCCTTCCACTGGAACATAAGCCCCATGAGGGTAGGGATTTTTGTTTTGTTCACTGGTGTTTCCCAAGCATCTGTAATGGCACCTGGGTTTATAATAGAAATGAAATCAAAACCTTAAAAAAAAAAAATCTCAACGAGAGATAGGACGGTGTTTGTATGACTGTCCTCACCCACCCTTACCCAGAAATCCATGTGAACAAATTAAAACTAGAGAAAGCACCTGACAGGTTACATAGCTTAGTGCATCTTCAGCTGAGTAGTTGTTGAACAGAGGAAGGAATGCCTACAATGTGGGGGACATTATGCTCACACAATTTATGTGCATGTGTTAGCTGTGTGAGGTCAGTGTGCCCACAGACTGTGCGGGAGGCCTTTCTGGTAACAATACTAGAGTCAAGCCCTTGACCTCCCAGGCTGGCAATGCCAATGAGCTAATTTTGGTGAGAAACAAGACCTGCTGACTGACACTCCAGGTCAGCCTGACCCGCTCCTCCTCGGTGTTGGGCAGCTCACGCTAGGGCTCGGGGTCAGCCATCCTCTGTGACCTGCTCAGCACCAGGCAGTGGATGAACGCAGATGCCAGTGGCTTCTGCACTCTCCTCCAGAAGAGTCACACAAGGGAACACACAGGGACTGGAGCTGCTGAGTCTGGTCTCTCTGACATTGGCCTTAACTTCCGATGCAGGTTGGGCTCCCTAGGGAGCACCTCTGAGGAGGAGTTCAACATGCAAGATGTTGATTATAGAGTGCCGAGGGGTCAACATCTGTGGAAGGGAGGGAAAGGAAAAGTAAGTGGACAGAGGGAGAAGAATGCGATGGGGGCTTCAAGTGACGGCACTGGGAGCTCTGACACCAAAATGGCTCTTCAGCGTTATCCTGCATTGAGCAAAAATGGCGCCACCATTGGATGTCGGCCCTTGGGAAGGGTGTGGGGTAGGGGAGGACTCTCTCAGCTGAGGAGCCCTGGAGGGGCTTTGGCTGAAGCCCTTCTGCTGTCGCACTCCCAGCAGCCGGGCAGTAGGTTCTTTCTCGAAGCGGCATCTGGGTGGCCCATCTCCCAACTGATGACACTGACCAACACCCCTTCCACTGAGGTAGTCTCTCTTTATTTTAATTATTTTCATTCTGCGATATATTTAAAATGCAAAAAAGCACTCTGTTTTTAAATGCATAAAACAAGAGACATGGGATTACAAAGGAAACAAATTCTATTTATACCCAGGTATCAAAACGCTGAAACAAATTTGTGATTTAGTCATACATGTGCTACTTTATTTAACACATTTAGATAAACAAGACCTAGATGCCATCCCAATACAGTCCCAATAACTCCCATAACTTCAACATGATGATGGGGCTAAACCACAGAGACATTTGCAGTAGCTGTGATGTGATAAGGAGTCCTTGGGTAGCGCAAAGGTTAAGTTGAAAAGTGCTGGACTACCAGTGGGAAGGTTGGCAGTCGCAACACACTCAGAAGCCGCTTGGAACAGAGGCCTGGCGATCTGCTTCTGGTTGCCATGAGTGGAAATTGATTCCACCACAACTAACAACAGTGATGTAATAGGAGGATATCTGTCATTTCCATTGCCACAGGCATTCCTGATTGTTGCCTACCTCATAGTTGGAGGAAAGACCGAATTTCCGCTAGAGGTTAGAGAAAATGAAGCTGTGATCTTTTCCCTTCCAGATGCCAGATGCAGGCAAGCGGGTGTTGGTGGTGGAGGGGTGTCCAGGAAGTGTGGGTTCAGGAAGAGAAGACCTTTCTAGCATCAGGACAATAATGAGTGGGATAGAAAGTAAGAGGGTGGATGGGGAAACCTGCCGGGGCCTTTTCCTGCCTAGAAGGGCTGGAGTGCCCCCCTCAACACAACCCCACACCAACACACTCAAGGTATTAGGAGTCTGACTACATAATCCTTGGTTGGGCCACCCCCCACCCCCACCCCACGCACACACTCCTTGTCCCACCCTGGGGCACAAATCACCCCAGCCTCCTCCCCCTCCCCGCGTAGCAGCCACCGTCGGCACCTACGGTGGTCAATTAGCCACGCGGTGACCTTGACCCCCGCCTGGCCCCTGCAAATGAGAGGGCGCGAGAGGCGCACAGGGCCTGACCCGCAGCGACCCGCTGTGACCGGCAATGCGGCCGCCCTCTTAGCTCGTGCTCCGCCGGCGCGGCTCCCAGGCATAAAAGGGCAGGGCGGCGAGACCGCCGCCAGCCTCCGACCCCGGGACTCCGCGCACGCACCATGGCCGGGTCCTGCCTCGCCTGCTGCCTGCTGGGCCTCCTGGCGCTGACCTCCGCCTGCTACATCCAGAACTGCCCGCTGGGCGGCAAGAGGGCCGCGCTGGACCTCGACGTGCGCAAGGTGAGCGCGCCCGGACCCTCACCCCTCTACGCTCGCGGGGCGGAGGAGGGCTAGGAGGGACTCCCAGGACAGGCTCTCGCCCCGCCACCCATTTCCGTGCACCGACCTCACGCGCTGACCGACCCCAGCCTGCCCAGGCCTCGCCTGCGAACCAAGGGGATTGGTAGATTTCGACTCCGTGCCCTTGACAGCTTTTGAGGCTGAAACAGAGCCACAGAGACCCAGAACCTCCAGCCCCCTGTAACCTGCCCCCCTCAGTTCAGAGTGGCTCGGGTAGTCCGGGCCCGGACCCCCAGCATCACCGCCCTGCTCACCCGCTTCCGCCCCTTGTCGCCGCTCCCCGCCTGTCCCTGCAGTGCCTCCCTTGCGGCCCCGGGGGCAAGGGGCGCTGCTTCGGGCCCAGCATCTGCTGCGGGGACGAGCTGGGCTGCTTCGTGGGCACCACCGAGGCGCTGCGCTGCCAGGAGGAGAACTACCTGCCGTCGCCCTGCCAGTCCGGCCAGAAGCCGTGCGGGAGCGGGGGCCGCTGCGCCGCGGCCGGCATCTGCTGCAGCCCGGGTGAGCCGGGAGCGGGGCTGGCGCGGGCGGGGGCGGTGGGCGTGGGCCAGGACAGCCCCTGACCCAGCATCTCTGCTTCCAGACGGTTGCGGCACGGATCCCGCCTGCAACCCGGAGACCGCCTTCTCCCAGCTTTGACCCCGAATTGGCTCTCGACACTGCCTGAGTGCACCCCTTCCTCCCCATAGCCACCTCCAGAAATAATGAAAATTAAATAAAGCAGATTTTCTTCCCTCCAACTCGGCTCGAGTCTTGTTGTCATTGATGTTAGATTCCGACTCATGGCGACCCCATGTGTGCCTAGTAGAACTGCTCCATTGGGTTTTCGTGGCTGTGACCTTTCGGAAGCTGATCTCCAGGCCTGTCTTCCAAGGTGCCTCTGGGTCGGTTCCAACCGCCAATCTTTCGCCTTGAGCACTTAACTGGCCGAACCAGCCGGTGTCAGAAATGGGAGAGGAGGGCTTCGGAGGAGTCCAGGATTGCGCCCAGCAGGCCTTGCTGTCTGGCTCTTGGCAGTTGGGAGCAGGAATTCAGAGCCAGTCTAGGAGAGAGTTCCCAGGCTTGCTGCCCCTTCCCCAAGCCGGTATGGGGTGGAGGAGGAAAGGAGACTACAGGGCCAGCTCCAGAGAACAGAAACAGCTCTCAGCTCACCTTTCCAAACTGGGGCTGGGGGCCTACAGCAGGCTGGACTTAAAAGGAACTTACAGAAGTCCGAAACGCTGAGCGTGGGCTCGTCAGCTGGTCTAATAGGGAAGAGAGGCCTGAAATGTCAATGAGGGTGGATGACTGACTCCCTGACAGCTGGGAGGGGGCTATGAGCCACACCCGAGGGTCTTCCTGGAAGTTTAGGGAGGGAGCTGGCTGGGGGTGACTAGAAGCTGGGGGGGTGCAAGAGGGCGGCAGCTGAAGGACTAGTCATATTTCCAGGGAGGTAGATGCTCAGACAGGCCCCGAGGGAGGATCCCAGGCTGGGGGAGGCTGGCTTGAGACCAGCATGACAAGTGCCTGTTGTCCTGCCAAAGAGATCCTGTGACCCAGTGCTGGGCCTGAATCCGTGCCTGCCTCTACAGAAAACAACGTGTCTGGGCGAGGGGACCTGCAGGGGGACAGGGGCTCTCTAGAGCCCCCTGTCACAGAAATGACCATGAAAATCAAAGCATATGGACAAGCAAAGAAAATCCCTCAACCTGCACTTCTCATCCATTCCTGGATCAGAGACTCTTTGGGAATCAGATAAAAGCCTAAGCCTTCTCCCCAGAAAATGCCCCCATTCACCTACTTATGTCATTGGGCAATCAATTTCAGAAGGTCATGCCCACACTCTTACTCCAAATAAAATAAGAGCAGAACATTATCTGTGAGTAATAAAAACTGTTATTTCTGAGACTTTCTCACACCCTGGAGAGCTACAGAGCAATGAGAACGACCCACCTCAACAGCACACAACGATGTGTAATCTCACAGGCAGGGTGTAGAAAGAAAAACCCAAATACTAAAGAGGACTGTAAGATGTTGTTTATGCAAATTACAAAAAACAGACAAAACTAACTTATGGTGTTAGAAGTCTTGGGGGGCTCAGTGACTGGAAGGGGCATAAGGAGACTTTGGGTGCTGCTCCTGAACTATAAGAGAATAAATCTTTGTTGCTTTAAACCACCCAGTTTGTGGTAATTCATTATGGCAGTCCTAGGAAACTAGTACAGTACCACTTACAGTAACATCAAAAAAACCATGAAAGACTTAGGTAGAAATCTTACCAAATATGTGTAAAATCCGTATGCTGAAACTACAAAATGCTGATGAAAGAAATAAAAGAAGACATGAATAACTGGGGAGACATGCTGTGTTTATGGTTTGGAAGACTCATCATAGTAAAGATGTCAATACTCCCAAATTGATCTATAAATTTAACAAAATTCCAATCAAAATCCCAACAGGATTCTTCTTTTATAGAAATCATTAAGTTGGTTCTAAAATTTATATGGAATGACAAAGGAACTAGAAGAGCCAAAGTGATTTTGAGAAAGAACACCATTGAAGGACTCACACTACCTGATTTCCAGACTTAGTATAAAGATACCATACTCAAAACAGTGTGGTGTTAGAGAAGGGCTACGCTTACAGATCAGTGGAACAGATTGGAGAGCCCAGAAATATACCCACACATATATGGCCAAATGATTTCTGACAAAGTTACAAAGACAATTGAAAAGAGAAAGGATGGTTATTTCAACAAATAGTGTCAAAACAATTGGCTATCCAGATGTAAAAGAAATAAATCTCAATTTGTAACTTATATCCTATGCAAAAATTAGCCCAAATTAGATCATAGACCTAAAACTAGACGAAAATATTTATGACCTTGAGTTATGTAAAGATTCCTTCGTTCTGACACCAAAAGGAAAATTCATAAAAGAAAAAAATTGATAAATTTGGGATCCATCAAAATTAAGAACTTCTACTCTTCAAAAGACACTATTAAGAGAATGAAAAGACAAGGCACAGATGGGAGACAGGATTTGCAAATCACATCTCACAAAAGACTTACAGACAGAATATAAAGGATTCTAGAAACTCAATCATAAGAAAACAACTTAATTTTTAAAACTGGCAAACAATTCAAACGGACAATTAAATAAGATATGTGGATAGCAAATAAGCACATAAAAAGATGTTCAGCATCATTTGTCATTAAAGAAATGCAAATTAAAACCACAATGATATAGCTATTAGAATGGCTTTTTAAAAACCTGACAATATCAAGTGCTGATAAGGATAAAGAGCAACTGGAACGCTCAAAAGTTGTTGGTAAGGATGAAAAATTATTCAGCCACTCTGGAAAACTATTTGATAATTTCTCATGAAGTTAAACATACAGTTACCATTTGACCCAGCAATCCCACTAATAGGCATTTATATGAGTGAAATAAATACCTTTGTTTACACGAAAAACTCTGTGAAAATATTTATAGTGGCTCTACTTGTAATTGTCAAAAATTATAAACAACCCAAATGCCCTTCAGTCGGGAAATGGATAAACAAACTGTGGTACATCCAGACAATAAAATGCTACTAGCAATAAAAGGGAACGAACTACTGATACATGCTGCAGTGCAATTAATTACTTACTATGGCCCTCTAGCCGTGACTCATGCTCAGTGATTGAGTGGGACTATGCAAATAAAGTGTATGGAACCCTAACAAGGGGATTGGTCAGTTTTACCATCCTGCTATGCTTAAAACCATCCCACGTCTGTCAGTTTGTCCTGCTGTGGTGGTTTGTATGTTGCTGTGATACTGGAAGCTTTGCAACCAGTCTTTCAGATACCTGCAGGGTCACCCTTGTGGACAGGTTTCAGCAGAGCTTCCAGACTAAAACAGATTGGGAAGGAAGACCTGGAAATCTACTTCTGAAAAAACTGGACAGTGGAAACCTTCTGAATAGCAGTGGAACATCGTCTGATATAGTGCCGGAAGATAAGCCCCTCAGGTTGGAAGGCACTCGAAATACTACTGGGAAAGAGCTGCCTTCTCAAAGTAGAGTCAACCTTAATGATGTGGATGGAGTAAAGCTTTAGGCACCTTCATTTGTTGATTTGGCATGACTCAAAATGAGAAGAAACAGCTGCAAACATCTATTGATAATCTGAACATGGAATGTATGAAGTGTGAATCCAGAAAAATTGGAAGTCATCAAAAATGAAATTGAATGCATAAAGATCGATATGCTAGGCATTAGTGAGCTAAAATGGACTGGTATTGGTCATTTTGAATCAGACAATCATATGATCTGCTATGCCGGGAATGACAAATTGAAGAGGAATAGGATTGTGTTCATCGTCAAAAACAACATTTCAAGATCTATCCTGAAGTACAACGCTGTCAATGATAGGATAATATCCATACGCCTGCAAGGAAGACCAGTTAATTAAACTATTATTCAAATTATGCACCAACCTCTAATGCCAAAGATGAGGAAATTGAAGATTTTTACCAACTTCTGCAGTCTGAAATTGATCAAACATGCAATCAAGATGCACTGATAACTACTGGTGATTGGAATGTGAAAGTTGGAAACAAAAAAGGATTGATAGTTGGAAAATATGGCCTTGGTGATAGAAATGATGCTGGAGATCACATGATAGAATTTTGCAAGACCAATGACTTATTCATTGCAAATACCTTTTTCAACAACATAAACGGCGACTATACACTTGGACCTCATCAGATGGTATACACAGGAATCAAATTGACTACATCTGTGGAAAGAGACAACAGAAAAGCTCAATATCAACAAGGCCAGGGCCTGATGGCAGAACAGACCATCAATTGCTCCTATGCAAGTTCAAGTTGAAGCTGAAGAAAATTAAAAGAAGTCCACAGGAGCCAAAATACCATCTTGAGCATATCCCACCTGAATTTGGAGATCATTTCAAGAATAGATTTGAGGCATTGAATACTAACAACCAAAGACCAGATGAGTTGTGGGATGACATCAAGGACATCATACATGAAGAAAGCAAGAGGTCATTAAAAAGACAGGAAAGAAAGAACAGACCAAAATGGGTATCAGAAGAGACTCTTGAAACTTGCTCTTGAATGCAGAGTAGCTAAAGCAAATGAAAGAAATGATGAAGTGAAAGTTGAACAGAAGATTTCAAAGGGCAGCTTGAGAAGACAAAGTAAAATATTATAATGAAGTGTGCAAAGACCTGGAGTTAGAAAACCAAAAGTAAAGAACATGCTCTGCATTTCTCAAGCTGAAAGAACTGAAGAAAAAATTCAAGCCTCTAGGTGCAATTTTGAAGGATTCTATGGGCAAAATATTGAACAATGCAGAAAGCATCAAAAGCAGATGGAAGGAATACAGAGTCACTGTACCAAAAAGAATTGGTCAACGTTCAACCATTTCAGGAGGTAGCATATGATCCAGAACTGAGGTACTGAAAGAAGAAGTTCAAGCTGCACTGAAGGCATTGGCGAGAAACAAGGCTACAGGAATTGACGGAGTACCAATTGAGATGTTTCAACAAATGGATGCAGCTCTGGAGGTGCTCACTTGTTTATGTCAAGAAATTTGGAAGACAGCTATCTGGCCAACCAACTGGAAGAGATCTGTATTTGTGCTCATTCCAAAG